TAATCCACAGCACTCCAGTCCATCAGTTAACAGCTGGAGAAGACAAAAGCTGAAACAAGATGTTTTTAACTAAAATACTATCCATAATAACGCTTCCTCCAGTGAAAAAGTGGTCTGGTCTGAATCAGGAGAGAAATCTGCACAGATCAAGCACTTGATTATGGACTCGTATTTTCTCGATGGATTTGTTTTTTTGTGCAATCTCCAGATGTTAACTGATGGACTGGAGTGGTGTGGATTATTGTGATGTTTTTATCAGACTCTCATTCTGACGGCACCCATTCACTGCAGAGCATCCATTGCTGAGCAATGTTACATTTCTGATTTTGTATCTCATTCGTGTCTTACAGCGACTACCATCGTGGAAGCCGGGAGGAACAAGAAGAACCCGGATGATTTCGCCGAGGCGCTCGACTCCGTTCTGGGTGACTTCGGTTTTCCTGACGTCTTTCTGTTTGACGTTTGGGGCGCTATGGGAGGAGACGTGAAGAACAGACGCATTTAGAGGTAATGCGTGACAAAGATATTTTGTAGGGAAAAAGGTGTTGGTACTGTAGTCAAATTTGTTTTCATAGGTATCATTTTGGTACATTTTTATTGATATTTTTTATTTACATAGCTAAATTTAGGAATTACATATGCTAGTTTTGCAAATATACAAAATCAAATATAAAAAAAATCGATAGAAAAATATTAAATATTATTAATATTAATAATTATTATAATATTAATACATATTATTTAATAGTATTTTTATATTCTTTTATCTACGCTCGTTTCCATATAGATTTTGAAAACAATCTAATTTATTATTTTTTTCTGATTATTCCTTTAACGATTCATTTGCATTTGATCAAAATGTGTGTCAGTTTTCATATATCAGAAAAAAGTACGTGTATTTAGATAATGAATCGCTGTTTATTTCTTGGTAATACATAGCAAATTTATTTAAAATATTAAACATTTTCAGTAACTGAAATAAAATAGAATATAAATATTAGATGAAAAACATGCAAAATAATTTGAAAAACTGTTGCGCTGGCAACCAAATAAAAACAACTATAAACTCTGGAACAATAGAGAAATATATATAAAAAAAATTAAATATGACAAAAGCACAACAAAATTATTAAATCCAAAATTATATATATAAAAAATGAAAATATACAAATAAAATCGAATTAAAAAAATGAATAAACACTACAAAAGTATATAAAAAAATAATGAATTATTAATATTTTTCTTGCAATTTAATTAATCCCGATACATAGTTACTTTTGAATGACTGTCAATGGATGATGCTTTTTAAGAATCACACGTAGTTATGCAATCTACCAGCATGAGCTAACTGGTCCACGCTGACTAACGAAACGTCCAGCCCTCGTTTCATGACTGATATTTGTTGATCTAGATTATATTTGTGTACGGAAAGCACGCAGAAAACACATAAAGCAGGTCATCTCAGGAGGAGTTTATTTACGGGCAGCTCTCAAACACACACACTTACAGAAAACCATTAGCAGGTCTTTATTCCTGACGCCGGACGAACACCATTAGAAGCTAATGGTCAGACGCTACACGCTAACGCTATCTCACACCAGCACATGCTTTTCCTCGTCTGTGTTTTTCAGAGTACGTCAGACATCTGAGAGACATTCAAGCTTGATTTGTGACGTCTGTCATCTGTTTTCATATACACAATCCTCCCAATTCCCACCTTTATCCTGAGGAAGGAGAACGTCAAGGTATTAGCGGCTAATCGGCATGCTAACGCAAACGTCAAGTGTGTAAAGCAGTATGCAGTAGGTCAAACTGTATTTCCCACCAATGTGTATAGCTAACTAGGATATAAACCAATCTTTTAAGTGTTTTACAAGATAACTTTGACTTTTAGAACGTATTATGAACTAGTATATGTTAGCTTAGCTTAGACTAGCCTTTGTTTGTTTTGATGTCTGTTGTGTTATGTATAAATACATTGTGTTACTGGTGAAATGAATGATCGTTTACGATTAATGACAGATCTTGTGACACGATTTAACTTGTGTATATATGAATAATAAATATTTAATAAATTCTATGCACATCCAATGTGTATTTAACTTAAAAATCTACTAAATGTGTTTGCGTATTGTATATCCTGTTTTACAATCCTTTTAGATGACCTGATGTGACATATTTAAATATGTGCAAAGATTAAAAACATACCACAAATGGACTTTTTGTACATTCACACTTCATACACAACAAAGAGAGCAACAAATGGCTCACAAATTTCCTTTAGTCAACGTGAAATCAAAATTGACACTATTTACGTTGTTAAAACAAATTTTTGGTCTTATAGAGTCCAGAAGTAAAAATCCCATTCATTTTCTCCATAAAGGAATTTTTTTTTTTTTTTTTTTTTGGTAAACGTTACAGACAAAACTACTGTGAGCTACGCGGTCGTTATTCAATGGTATATCCACTTCATTTGAACTTTTTATTTCAACTTATTTTTCAAAAAAAAATAAAAAATCATGTTAAACAGCAGAATTCCTGGTGAACAAACTACATTACCCATGATTCTGCAGAAAAATTCCACCAATCAGAGAATGGCAACAAGTAAATAACACAAAAAGAGCTCCCCCAACTCATGAATGGCAACCTCTCTATACTCTCGAACTACTTAAATATTTGTGTACACACACACACACATTTCGCAATAAAATGTACAATATGTTATTTCTATATAGACAATCTATATAAATCAATCAAATCTGATCTTAAATCGTTTTCTATTTCGCCATTGTTTCTAATTCGATTAAGTCATTCGTAATCCTTCATGGGATTGTAGTACTTCAAAGTAAACTATTTTTTATCTTTGTCTTTTTGTCCAATTTTCCAGTACTTTTTTGTTTCAAATCCGAGATTTGTGATTTACCTCGTAGCTTGTTGGTTTGATTGTGGCTCTTAACTCTTTAACGAAGACATTTATGGGCAAAAGGAATGGGAAAAACTCCAGGAACTACTGAAAAATGGGCAGAGCATATTGTACAAAGGCTCCGCCCCATATTTTAACCCCTCACCCTCCAACCAACTGTCTCTTCATCATCCAATCACTGGCTAACTGATCAAATCAAGCCCCGCCCACTTTCCCACTCTCAAAAACAGCATATTACCGAAGGTACTCATTTTAATAATTTAATATGGTTTATTTGCAGCTAGTCATGCTAATGCTTATTTAGCATTAGCAGTCGTAGCCGTGAAATTATTGCAGAACGGAGAAGCCGATATGAATCTAGTTGACATTACTGATCCTTAATTGTTTTCCTGTTAGCCAAGCGCACACTACAAGACAGAAGCTTATCATCATGATTACGGTCTGCGAACAAAAACCCCTTGTTTGTAGCCAACTTTTGTGTGAATGCTATTGAGAAGTCGCAGACACCAGACGTTCACGGAGTCCAAGTCATGTTTTTTTTGTCGCAAGTCAAAACATGGAACTGTTGGCCAAACAGCTCTATAATTAAAAATGACCATAAATCCATGTTGTTTACACACAAGAAACTGTCTTAAGTGTAACTAGCTAATAAGATTCTGTTCGCAGTGAGCGCTAGGTCTTAGCGACGCTGCTTGCCAAAAATGATCTCAACCAAAGATGCAAATACTTAAGAGAACAATTGGCCGAAGCAATCCAAACACAAGAGGGTTGAACAATGATTTTTATGCAGCAATGCTCGGGTTTACATGCGATATCAAAACGGAGATCAAAACAGATTATTCACTCTGACAGCATTTGATGCTAACCTTGTGTCGCCTCACACAAGAATAGCCAAATTTGTGCTGGTAATAATACTTGTTTAATTCCTCAAAAGACAAAAATGTTCCATGACAACAGCAGAAATAAACCAGAATCGCTTTTGTGGTGAAAGTTGCCTGCCATTTTATCCAAGTGTGTGGTCCTCAAAGTCTTTTATCAGAAAGGAAAAGGAGGGTGTTTGTCTGGGAAGCGAGCCAAAACTGCCCAGTCGTCCCAAATCGAGCCCAGTCTGCACTTTTCTACTGTATGTTTTCATTGTAGCCTTTGAGTATACAGTCTTGTCTTTTTATCAGATTTTTAAATACATTTTTGCTTTAAATGAGAGATAATTTTGTGATTTACCTCCTAGTTGGTTGGTTTGGTTCATTGCTTTTAACTCTTTTAAAAATCCCTCTGGAAACAACACTCCAGGAACCGCTGAAAGTGGGCGGGAGCTATTGTGCAAAGGCTCCACCTCCAAAATGACATCATTTCCTTGTTGTTGGCTGGTTTGGTTCATGGTTGGGGTTATCTATTTAACGAAGACTTGAATGGGAAATGAATTGGAAAAAACTTGAGGAACTGCTGAAAAAGTGGGCAGACAGTATTGTGCAAAGGCTCCGCCCCCAAAATGACATCATCAAACACTTATTTTTCAACCCCTCCCCCTCCAACCAAATGTCACTTTTCACTGGCAAAATTCAAGCCCCACCCACTTTCCCACTCAAGCCTTCAAGTTTCTACTGCAAGTTTTTTTATTAAAGCCATTAAGTTCACATTATTGCCTTTTTGTCCTATTTTTAAATACTTTTTTTGCTTTAAATCAGAGTTTGCAATGTTGTGATCCACCTCGTAGCTGATTGCTTTGGTTCATGGATTGGTTAAACTCTTTAACGAAGATTTGAATGGTAAATGTATGTGAAAAACTCCAGGAACTGATGAAAAAGTGAGCGAAATAAACTATAATGGGTGTACTATTGTGCAAAGGCTCCACCCCCAAAACGACATCACCAAACACACTTATTTTCCAACCCCTCTCCTCCAACCACCCATCACTTTTCCTTATCCAATCACCGGCCAACTGGAAAAACCGAGCCTCGCCCACTTTCCCATTCAAGTTCCTACAGTACGTTTTCCTCAACAGGTTCGCTCTCCAAGTTCACGTGAGTTCGCCACGTCTTGAGAGCTCAAATATACGCTTCGTGAGCGTGTCCGACTAGACTTTCTTGGCCAGGCCGGCCGTCAGCAACTCTCCGAAAAGCAATGCACCAACAAAAGTGTTCAAAAGGTGGGTCACGCCCTACATTGGGCGCCACGTTAGACATCGAATCATTAATGAAGTACAAAGTAAATGCTAGTCTTGGCTGCTAAATGGAACTAGATGCCACAGTGGCGTCCAACACATGTAGAGGCATATCCTCTTTTCTGGCTTTGTCTGGATTCAGCCGAATATGATCCAAACGTTCAATCGTTCCTCCGAGAGAGGCGCGTGTGAGCTTGCGGAAGGACGTCGAGATGGTCGGATAGAGGCTGACGATGGAGCCACGGGACCAGTCCATCTTGGGAGCCATGCGCTTCAGTATGGCACGTCGGAATAGGATGTAGACCCAGGGATCCAGGACCTGGTTCCCCGTCGCAAACCGAAGCCAGAGAAGCAGGTGGCGAACGTCGAGCTCGCTGCCCGACAGCACAGTCTGCGCAATAAACACCTGTTGAGAGGAAAAATAACGAGAGTGATGAGAGGAACGCCGAGCGCGAGCCAACGCTTGAACTCCACTTGAGTCAGTCAATGAGATAAACACAATCACTACGGCACAAACATTGCCGTCGCTATGGGCTTTGTCATTTCGAAATGTTTACGAAAACCAATGGATTTTTGCAATGAGAATAACCAGAATGTAACATCTGGGAATGTTGGAGGCAATTTCCAGGAACGTATTTACTTGCATAATGTCGATACTAAATATATTCACCCCCCAAAAATAATATACAGATGTGAAAAGAAATGATTTTCACATCTCTCCTTCATTTTTGGAGTGAATCAAGAAATCTGTCAGGAACATGTTTAGGTCATATTTCACCCCAAAATCAAAAGAAAGAAATTGGAAGTTATTGTTTGTGTAAAAAATGTAAGCCCATTCAGACTTGATTAATCAAATATTTTAATTTCCGCTGTGCAGTTCTAGTATTTGTTGTCCTGTGTTCAATTTATACTTTATTATTTAATTTATAGCAATGTTTCAATTAATTTAAACAAAATACATTAAAATAAATAAAAAATGAGTGGGAAATGAGTTTAATTATCATGCTTAATGGTCATAAAAATAATAAAATAAATATAATTTCAATTTTTTCTTTGAATTTTAGGGTTAACATTTACCTCATTATTGTGAAAAATAAAAGCAAAACAAAGAAAGATACTGGAAATAAAATGAGCCATGTGAGGCCAACAGCAGCTTCTCATTTGGACGCTAGAACGTTTTTTTTTTAGGATGAAACTGGTGAAATATCACATGACCTTTCTGGATATTTTTCCAAATAGCTGCAAGATAACAAATGGGTTTGTTGTTAACATAAACACTTAGCTGTAATAAAGTGAATACACCGATAAAAGTAGTGAAGTAGTACTGAATCACTGACCTTTGCTGAGTGTTCACTTGACATAATACACATGCTCACACACACAAATAAACACAGTGCATTTGGTGGAACATTTACCATGGTGTGTACAGTTTCTGCCAAAATACCATAACTTCTGTAACAATTAATGCTACAAAACAATGCGGGAACCTTATTACTTAAGGCACTAAGGTACTTACTATAACCTTATAAGTCATTAAAATATCTTTATGTACATTAATAATATGCATATTATGCTTATGTTTGCTTGTGTTTGTTTTATTAAATAAAATAAATATAAAATATATAATACAAATAAAATAATATAATGTAATATAAATACTATATTTATTTATAAACATTTATCACAACATAGATTAATATTATACATTTATTTTCTATCATGCATTAATATGTTTTTAACATTAACATAACAAAAATATTATATTACAAAAATATGACATATTATAATATAAAAAGAAATACATTTAGTCATTTAGCAGATGTTTTTATCCAAAGCGACTTACAAATGAGGACATTTAATAATATTTTGTGTTAATTAATTAAAATACAATTTAAATAAACATAAATATGTAAATATTTATGGATTAAAATTTAAACATTTGACAAATAATAATACAAATAAATGGAATAATTAAATGTAATTAGAAACTTTTGTAAAAAAAAATGAATACTTGTGAATATTTTATATCATATTTCAAAAATAAATTCAATTTTAATTTAATTTAGATAGTATTTCTTTGGGTGTTGAATATACAAAGAAAAAATCTATATATGATAAATCTTTATAACATCTGATTTTATTTAAATAGAAATATATTACAAAAATGAACTCAATTTTAAAAGAATTTTTAAATATTAATACTATATATATATATATATATCTCATGTTCATGTTATATAATAATTAATAATAATTATAATATATATATGTATATAACAAATTTATTTTTTTAAATTTATTTTAAATTCTTTCATTTCTGTGATGGCTTTTCATATTTTAGTTTTTGGAAAAGAAAAAAATAAATAAAATCTACACATAAAAAGGTATTTTATTTAAAAAAAATCTAAGAAAGCTTCAATGATTCATAATATAGTTTTTTGCTCTTCATAGAGCAAAAAAGGTTTAAAAACAATCCCTGCCATATAAAAGTATAAAAGTGCCCACAGTCTGAAGAAACACACAGTTGTAGTTCATTTAGCAGACGATTGGCTAGCGATGACTTTGAGTTTTGTTAGAAATAGGAAGTGTGTGTTTGTTGCTGAGGACTTCCTGTTCTTCCCTTCAACAGGAAATGGCTCTTTCCCATGAGTCTTATCAGCAGTTCTCACACGACTCCTTCACGTTCCTCGACTGGCAGAACTCTTCCCGCGTGAGAAACTCTGAACGTGTTATTCGACGAGCAAAGCGTCTGGTCTCGCCATCAGTAGCGCACCTGCGTCGCACAGCAATGTTTCTGCATTACAATAAACGAGACCGAAAACAAGCAGCGTCACGGACAATTATAACCGATTCGGACGATTACAGAAAGCAATTCTTGTAACGTCACACTGCGAGTACAAACCAGATGTTCGCGACATCTGGATCTGAAACGGGGCTTGTTTGAATCTGATACGAACTAAAGTCTGACATGTGCACATACAGGAGGCGTTTTACCTTTTTAGTGGACTTGAGACTGTTCCAAACCTAGTAAGCTGCCTACGTAGGTGCTGCTTTAAAGCCAAACTTCAATGACTCATCCCAGAATGCATTGCGCTGAGCTTAACGAGAAACAACCTGAAAATGGTGGACGAGTTACTGAAAGGTGTCACTATAAAATAGTTAAATGTAAGGCAGTATTTTACTCAATAATTGCATGTGATATGTATTTTTATGCTTATTAGAGTGTTAGCTTAGCCATATGCTAACATCAAAACTCTACTGGAATCAACTGTCAAGCTGTTTATGTATCATTTATTCTAATTTCAATATAGAACTGCACAAAAATGGTTAGTAAATCATTTTTCAATGTTAAAATTATGTTGGCATGTATATTGCTTACATCTTTTGGCTAAACTGTTAAAATAGTGAGTCTTTTGATGTTTACAGATCAGTCCCATTCACTTCTATTGTTAGTTGTATGTAATTTATTTTTAATATATTTTATTATTATTATTATTATTACGATTATTATTTTAAACAATTTTATAATTATTATTATAAATAGGTTAGCTTAATTATATTACTTAATTAAAGAATATTTGTATAATAACAATAATAATAATTATTATTATTATTGGGTTATGTTGATTATATTACTTACTACAAGAATGTTTTGGCAGTAGCAAAATACTAAAAATAATAAAGATATTTAAAAAACCTATAGTAATAATAATCATTATTATTATCTATTATACTTATTTTATTAATATTAATTATTAATTATTTTATAATTATTGCTATTAATGGGTTGGTTTAATTATATTACTTAATGCAAGAATGTTTTGGCAGTATCAAAATAATACAAATATATATATATATATAATTTTACTTTTATTTTAAAAATAATAATAATTGTTGTTATTATTATTGTTATTAATTTTGTAAAATTATTAGTTGAAGTAATTTTATAAATATTGTATTAATAGGTTAGTTTAATTATGGAATGCCATTTTATAATAATAGTTAGGGTTAAGATAATGATGATGATGATTATTGGGTTTGGGTAATTATATTACTTACTGGACATTTAAGTAATATGTGATTATTTATAATAAAAAACTGTAAATATTCCGCTTTATTTCACAAGTTGTACGTTATTATTTTTTTAAAGGAGGGGAAGTGAAAGTTACTTTTTCAACATTTTGCCACAAACGCTGTCGATTTAGCTTAACTGAACCCGTAATACTCCTCTACAGGATTCCTTCTTGGTTACGATGTTGCCTACTTTGTAGGCATCTTACTAGGTTTTGGAAACAGCTCATTTTGATCAGTTGGCCAACACACTTAGTATTTATCAGTTGTCTATGTAGTTTAATCACTCACCAGTAGAGGGCACCAGCAGACAGAGGCGATAGTCATGATCAGAATCAGCTGCACCATCATCTCCACTTCGTAGTCTCGTCTCCGTTGAGCGCTGCCCTGTCCGCAGCACACCCTCAGTAGGGTGACGACGCTCACTGTGTTGAGCAGGAACGACATGGCCAGCGACAGCAAACCCACGAGCGAGAAGATCAAACTGAAGGTCATATCCAGCGGTCTGGAGCTGATGTTGAGGAAGCACCAGGAACCGGGGATCTGGAGATGGTAGCTTCCCAATCCGGCCAACGGTAGGAGACTGATGCAGCCGGCCGTGACCCAAACCATGGCCACCGTCGAACACGCTCTGCTGTTGGACATGGCGGTGGAGCGGGCGAAGGGTCGGTTGATGCCTACGAATCGCTCCACGGCCATCGTGGCGCCGAGAAGCAGCGGGCAAAGGCCGTAGAAGACCATCGACATGCCCATGAAGTTGCAGAAGTGGCAATGAGGGTCCAGTTGGCGCCAGTTGAAGTGCGTAATGTGGAAGGACACCACGATGGACCCGGTGACCAACAGTCCCATGAAGTCGGTGAACACCAACCCTCCGAGGAAGAGCAGGAAGGAGGAGCGCGAGCGGCTCTTGGTGTGGTGGAAGGTCTTGGCCAGAACCACCAAAGCGAAGAGGTTGGAGCTCAAGCCGAGGCCGCTGAAGACCGCCGAGAAGTACGCCGAGGCGATGGTGTGGTTGTGTCTGAAAGGCGGGCTGTTGATGGAGAAGCAAAGCGGAGTCACGTTGCTCGGCGCCGACGTTTTGTCGATGGCGACCAGCAAGGAAACCATGATGGTGACTGCTGAAGATGGGTTTATTTCATTCTGTGAACCTGCGATGGAGAAAAAACAATGGAAATGCTTAAGAAATGTTGCGAAGCACATAGATATATATAGGCAGTGTTGGGGGTAAATCATTACAAGTGACGTGTAATCAGATTACATTTTTTTACGAGTAATCAAATTTTTTTCGCGAGTAATCAGATCACTTTATACTTAATCTGATTATTTTTAATGAATAATCAGATTACATTTTGGCAAGTAATCTGATTACTTTTTAGAGAGTAATCAGATTAATGTTTTTCAAGAGTAATGAGATTACTTTATAGGTAATCAGATTACTTTTTAACGAGTAATCAAATTATTTTTTATGAGTAATCAGATAATTTTTTAACGAGTAATCGGATATTATTTCACGAGTAATCAGATCACTTTATACTTAATCAGATTACTTTTTAATGTGTAATCAGTTTACTTTTTGCAAGTAATCTGATTACTTTTTAGAGAGTAATCAGATTGTTTTTCAAGAGTAATCAGATTGCTTTATACGTAATCAGATTACTTTTTAATGAGTGATCAGATTACTTTTTAAAGAGTAATCAGATTACTTTTTCATGAGTAATCAGATTATTTTTTCAAGTAACTAGTTAAAGTAATGCATTACTTATTAATTTACTTTTTAATTTTCAAATAAGTAGTTCAAATTCCAGTTACTTTTTTCCCATTTATTGACTGACAGCTCTCCTGTCCGCATGTTGAGAGAAATCTCGAGTAAATTGTGTACGCTGTGAACATCATGTTCCTGTAGTTCTAGACTAAATGTGAACATGCATTTACTCATCTCACTTGCACAAAAACAGATTCAGTATTCTTTAAAATGAATAAAAACAATGAAATGCAAACTCTAAATAATGGCACAAACCTGCAATAATAATATGCTAAATAACACAAATATCCTTTATGTATTTAAGCCCATTTTATTAACCAGTGTCTTCGCTGCTGACCTTCGATGATCCAATTCATGATTTCAGATAACATTTGCGTTTCATGTTTTTTTATTGTTGAAGAGTGTTTAACTTCTCTTCATGTAATCCAGAATGGCAGCACAGCTGAAAGGTTTGTTTGAGCTGCGCCCTCTACTGTACAGATGTGAATTTACATTTCCTTCAGCCTGACGCTTATTATACTTTTGGAAAGGGCTTTTACGTTTGCCAAAAGAAGAACATTTTTTATACTAAAAATAAACAAGCAAGCCCAGTGCGGACGAGAAAAAGTAAGTAAACCATTACTTTCCACAAAAGTAACTATGTAACACAATTAGTTACTTTTTAGGGAGTAATGTGATATTGTAATCCATTACTTTTAAAAGTAACTTTCCCCAACACTGTGTATAGGTAGATGTCTTATTAGCCGCTGTTTCGATGGGTCGCTATACGAAAGTCGTCCGCCATATTGGAGTGGTCAAAGCTGGTGCGTGAACATTCGACAGCAAGATGACTGTGTGTCTATTATTACATTTGCATGTATAAATATCTATATCTGCATCAGACTTCAGCAGGTGATATAGCTAAGCTAACAATACAAGAAGAAGAAGCCGTTAGCTAACATGATGTTAAAAAGTTTCCATAGTTTAAAAACCTGTAATATCAAGTTAATACAGATAAAACACGAACCTGTGAAAGTTTATTCCAATTCTTCGGGAAAATACATTTCGGTGTTGTGCAATGTTGTGGCATCTTGGAAAACTCATTGATTTTTACTGTTGGTCGAATGTGGCATACATATCTATGGCGTCAGGATTGTGCACTAACGGATGACTCATTTGGTTCTGAGACATTGTTTTGCTAGCAAACGGAATAAACGAGTCACATCCCTGCGTGTGTTTTTTCCCAACATCTTGTGCAATAGTACAGAATGCTTCATTCTAAGCAGACGTTCGACAGCACACAGAAACTAAAACATGGACTGTGATGGACGAAACGTGCCCATGTAGTGTCCGCCGGCGTTTTAGAGCAAACCGCCATTGACGTCAAGAGGAAACGTCACATATCTGATGAACAATCAGATCTGTCAGATCATACCAACAATAAACAATCCTCGAACATAACATTTGCTGAAATTAAAGTTTTAAAATCATTTTTTAATTATTTTTAATAATCAATAATAATAATAGTAATTATGAACAATTCCTCCATTAACCCAATAATAATAATAATAATAATAATAATAATTATTATTATTTCAGTAAGTGATATAATTAATAAAAATAATGACTATATTTAATCTTTTCATATTCTTATTTTATACTTTTTTATACTGTAAAATCATTCTTGCATTAATATAATTACTGTAACCCAATAACAATAATAATTATTATTACAAAAATCCTTGAATTTTTGCAATTAAACTAAACTATCAATATTAATAATTACAATAATTGTAATTTAATATTTTAATTACATTAGAAAATAATCTTTCATTAGATAATATAATTAGCCTAACCTTTTATTATTATTATTATAATTATTATTAAATAACGTTTTCCATTAAGTAGTTTAATTAACCTATTATTATTATTATCTAACATTTTCCCATTAATATAATATAATGACCTATTATTAATAGTTTTTTATTATCGTTATTATTATTATTAAATGTAATTGTTTATCGATATATTTTACAAAAGCAATATATGTGATTTTAATACCCAGCTACTCATTATTTACTGCTTTAATATACATGCATATTTTGTATTCTGACTTCTGATTGGATTAGATTCATTAAAAGCTGACCGCACATTATATATATGTGCTATGAAAGACTTTATTATTCTGATTATTATTATTAATAAATGCAACTATTTACTGAACATTATTTGCTTATTAGTGTCAATCTTTCAATTGAGGCCACGAGTTACAGTGATTTTAATGCAATTAAGATGGTTTCAGGCGCTCTCCTCATTAATATCCCTTAAACTCACTTTAATGTGTGTCATTGATTGCTTCATTTTGCATCATGCTAAAGCTAACACTGAAAATAATGCATGCTAATGTAAAGATCTGAACTGCGTTTGCAGAAGTTCAGTGCATCTGCATAAAAACATCCAGACTCAGGGATATTTTGAGCCACATCTTTTTTGTGTGTGAAAAACACATACATCCCAAAGGAATGTGAAGTGGATCCACTCCACTTTGGCCATTAAACATGAGTGTCTTCATCCACAAACGCATTCAGATTGATACCTTAAGTGGCGATATTAATCATCAGGCAAAAGCCTAAACATCTGAATACATTCGGTGGCGTTTACACTCGTAATGGCCGTTAATGAGGATCCAGTGTACAGAAACCTGAGGCTGCTGATGGTGTTTGTGCATCTCTCTTAGCAGCGTAATTCCAAAACAAACTTCATTAGCCAAACACAGAGCTTTCCACGGCGCGCTCCTAATCGAATTCCATCAAATGAGGCCCAGAAATCAGCTTAGAGAATGTCAGCGCCAGAGAGTGGGCCGGGAAATCTGCGACCGGTTTGCATGCGTGTGCATCCACATCTAAGGTTTTCAGCATTTGGCTGCATGTGTGGAAATGCAGGAGTGTAAAACATCGGCAAAACAGATGATTTATTAAATATGATTACGGCTGTATGCTGTTTTGTTGTATAATCAGAGCATTACATGATTCTGTATTGTATAAACTCTTATAGAAAATAAAGGTTCGTGCAGGAACTCTTCAAGAGCTGTTTTCAGATGTATGTGTTTGATTGAAGTTTCTTCGGATGAGTGATTTCTGGGGGTTTTTCATGCACCAGAACATGAGAGTTTTCTGAAGAACTAGAGATTAAACGAGACAGGCCTAGACAACCCTCTATGCCGTAGAGCAGTGGTTCCCAACCCTGGTCCTGGAGGCACTCCAACACTGCACGTTTTGCATGTCTCCTTAATCAAACACACCTGATTCAGGTCATCAGCTCATTAGTAGAGACTCCAAGACCTGAAACTGGTGTGTCACATATTAGTCATTTTAACTGAATTTAGGACTGGTGGTGGTGCTTTTTTGGTCATTCAGTGTTTCTGTAAAAAAAAATTGGGGAAAAATATAAGATAATTATACGAATTATACTAGTAAGAACAATATAAAACGCACTAAGGATTAATTCATGAATATTAATCAGGTTGTGTGCTTTCGCTCGAACTGATTTACTGAAATCAAAACAGGGACGATAATAGGTGAGCGCCAGCCAATGAGATTGCCGTTTGCGCATTAGTTCCGCCCACTACCAGAGAAAGCGGAAGTTCTTAATAGCTGAAGATTTCCAAAGGAACGCTGTTATTTTGACAAGAAAAAAACAACAAAGAATATCGTTTACATGTAGCGCGTCAATTCTCTCCGTCAATTCTCTCTCAGTCAGAGTGTTCGGCGAGTGAAAATATATCTGTGCTAAACTTATACTTAGCCTCCAACTCACACACTGGCGAGTAAAATCTGGAGAATTTATTAGCCATTGGCTAATATTAGACATCATTTAGTCGCCCAGAGTGAAGTGATTTACTCGCAATGTAGAGGGTTGCTTGAATAGATTATTATGAAATGCATCAAATGTTAGATAACAGGTTAAAAAACACAAAGTACTACGAGGCAAGGGGACTCAATCATTTATATGTACTTTTTGTAGCCTATATTTAATGTATTATGTAAAAAAAGGCTAATTTTCTCACCCATGCACAAATGCAGCTCAAACTTACTATTAAAATAATATTTAAAATATGTAGCTTATATCATAAAATTATATACCACATACAAAATATTCCACAAATATGACTGTATATGACACAATGTTATGGATTAATTACTCACATATTTGAATTAGATTAATAATATTTTTTGTTCATTTTAATTACTTATATTCATGGAACGTTTTATTTCTAAAACGTTTTAGTTGGACATTCATGTAACGTTCTTTAAATGTTACTAAACGTCAAGCGAACACGCATGTTCCCTTAACGTTCATTATAAAAAAAATTTTTTTAAACTGGACGTTTGAACGTTCTGAAAACATTCATAAATAACATCTTCCTAACTTAATAGAACGTTAGCAAAACGTTCTTAGAACATATTTTTGTTAGCTGTGGGAGTTATCTGATCTTTAACAATGTTCTTAAAACGTTTTCACAAAAACAAAAACGTTTTGTTGTTTTATATCAGTTGATATATCTATTAAAATAAGTGGTTCAAACGCTGATGAACGTCATTTTTCACACTTCTGACTAAAACGTTTAAACTTTGTACTAACGTTACTTACATATTCAATAATGTAGACTTAGTTTTGGCATTGACGCTATTGTGGTTGACAAGTTTACAAAAATAGATATTTTTGGCAGAAATGTTTAGCATCCACAACGCGTAAAACTCCCGCCTAGTACATCCAAACAAACAAAGAAAACGCAACTCCTCTGCGAAGTTTAGTTCCTAAACTAAAGTCAAAAGCGAAACGCACATCAAGACGTAAGATTTTGAACTCAAAACGTAGAATTTTACCTGAGAACGTGTGAAAGTCCGGCGCGCATTCAACAAAAACGTTTTGTTGTTTTATATCAGTTGATATATCTATTAAAATAAGTGGTTCAAACGCTGATGAACGTCAATTTTCACACTTCTGACTAAAACGTTTAAACTTTGTACTAACGTTACTTACATATTCAATAATGTAGACTTAGTTTTGGCATTGACGCTATTGTGGTTGACAAGTTTACAAAAATAGATATTTTTGGCAGAAATGTTTAGCATCCACAACGCGTAAAACTCCCGCCTAGTACATCCAAACAAACAAAGAAAACGCAACTCCTCTGCGAAGTTTAGTTCCTAAACTAACGTCAAAAGCGAAACGCACATCAAGACTTAAGATTTTGAACTCAAAACGTAGAATTTTTACCTGAGAACGTGTGAAAGTCCGGCGCGCATTCCTTCAGTCTGTCGATCCGCGGATCTCAAGCTCTACCTCCCATCACCTCCATCCCCGCTCAAATACACACATGACTGTGAGGATGAGGAGGAGGAGGATGATGATGAGACACACCATCCTGTTCCTCCTTCATCGCCGCTATTCAGTCTCTGGCTCTCCGCCAGAAACTTGAACTGCTAAAATCAATACCAGAAACTCTGATAGCTTTGAGTAGCCTATCAATGCAGTGTGGGCAGAAATGTTCTATGATGTTTCAATAAACAGATGGTCTCTAAATTGTCTGTTTGTGTGTGTATCAACAGCCCAAATGACTTTAATTTTGCATGAGCGGTTATTGGTTCTAGGAAAATGCTTTTGCATCTTTATATTTGAATAATTCAAGACAGTGGAAACGTAAGAGCTTTTTAAAGCACCAGACGCCAGTGACTAATGACTGCTTGTGATCACGACAAACAGATCTAAAGATACTGTCAAAGTCCTTTGCATTCAAGTGAACAACAAACTTGGAAACGTTGTCTTTTAAAAATAAATGAGCCGTCAAACGTTAAGGAACGTTCTCAGAATGTTCTGACAAGGTTCTCTCAAAGTTTTGTTAGCAAACGTTCTTCCAGTTACATTAGAGAATGTTTGTTTACTTGGCTGGTCTTTTCTAACTCGGATAGCTCACGTACGTCTGCAAGATGTCTGTTAAAGAGCTTTTTATCTGGAAAGCATCTGCTGTGTACATCAACATCTTAAAGACATCTGATAGGAAACGGCCAATAGATGTATTGCAGATGAGCAAACACTCCACAATAGATCTTGCAGATGTAAGATGTCAAATAGACGTCTCCGTGATGTACATGTGCTATCAGGGAATGTTCTCAAAACGTTAACACAAAAACATTTTTATAAACGTTCTATACCTTATGTTTTAGTTGGATGTTCATATAATGTTTTTTTTTTAATGTTACTTGTTTCAGAACATTCATAAATAACACTTGCATAAGGTTTGCATGCTCTCTTAAACTTCGTATAACTAGGATTAAATGTTTTTGAAACATTCAAAAAACGGGACCTTCTGAGAACATTGTTAGCAAAACATTCATAGAACATATTATTGTTAGCTGGGGAGTTACCTGGTTTTTAATAATGTTCCTAAAACGTTAGCACAAAAACGTTATACTATGTAAATTGAACATTTTCTTTTCGAACATTGAATTGGATGGTCATTTAAGTTTAAAAAAAGAAAATGTTAATTTTGTTAAAAGAACATTAAAATGTAATGTTCCCATAATGTTTACAAAATTATAAAATGGAATGTTAACATTCGCATAACCAAAATAAAATAATTAATAAAAAAATTAATAAAACAATTGAAAACACTGAGGCCCGGTTTCACAGATGCTTAAGCCAGGACTAGGACGTAGTTAAATTAAGATTTTTAAGCAGCTTTTATAAAAATGCCTTATAAAAAAACTTTTCAGGTGTGCATCTTGAGACAGAACAATGGCACTGACATATTTTAAGATATGTAAGAGCAAGACATTTTCAGTTGAGACCGCTCAAACATGCATTTTAGTCTTGGACTAGCCTTAAGCCTCGTCTGTGAAACCAGGGGTATATGTTTTAAAGGGGTCATATGATGCGATTTCAATTTTTCCTTTCTCTTAGGAGTGTTACAAGCTCTTGGTGCATAAAGAAGATCTGTAAAGTTGTAAAGACTAAAGTCTCAAATCCAAAGAGATATTTTTTGAACATTAAAGCATGTCAACATATTCTGTTACACCAAATACACAAAATAATGATCTTTAAAATAGCATCATATGACCCCTTTAAATGTTCAGAAAACACAACTTAATGGGAACATTAGCAAAATGTTCTTAGACCTTATTTTTGTCAGCTGTGTAATAGATCTTTCAAGTCTACAAACTTTTTTTCACTCTAGTACTTACCAAATGTATTCAAAGGGTCTGTACTTCTGTTATGCATTAGCGCTAGATCAGATACTTGTGTGGGGTGAAGCTAAAGCCCTGTGAGCGTTCATGACCGCAATAAACAGCTGATAGGTGAAGAATCTCTGACAATTATTGAACTTTAGATGACATAATGTCAGTTTCCACTTAGCCAAGGAAACATTTTAGCATAGCATGCTAAATACATCCATCAACACTGAGAAAACAACATGTGTTGCGCTGCGATTAGCTGTTAGCTGCCACCACTATCCCTATCTCTCCTTTTATTCATCTATGAGATAATTACAATCTGTTTTACTGTGGTAATGACATGTCGTCGATCATTTAACGCAACGCAACAGTTAACATTCGCAATCAATGCTAAACATCTGGCATTTTGCAAGCCTATGCAATTAGCAAGAAAAACATATTCTCTGCATAGTTTTGGTTTGTAAATAAACTCTTACGTAAAGACATATGTTTATTGCACTTGTGCCTTTGATGATTAATGCTCTTTTCGGCATCGGCATCGCACATGCATTCCTCGCGAGGCCTGCCAAATTTAGCTAATCCGCTCCCCTTGCAAATAACAAACCACATGACCGAATGAGACACTATAATCCAAACACATACAGCTGAACTTATGACCTGATTTACTTTATGCTACCAACTTTTATGGCTTGTCTAGGTTATTTGCAGATGCTGACTCTCGGCTTTGTTGAAAATGACGTGTTTGAGAGAGGCGGGGCATAGAGGACCTACAATGTACAGTATTTGAAAAATAATGTGTTTTTTGAACATTAAAGCATGTCAACATATTCTGTTACACCAAATACACAAAATAATGATCTTTAAAATAGCATCATATGACCCCTTTAAATGTTCAGAAAACACAACTTAATGGGAACATTAGCAAAATGTTCTTAGACCTTATTTTTGTCAGCTGTGTAATAGATCTTTCAAGTCTACAAACTTTTTTTCACTCTAGTACTTACCAAATGTATTCAAAGGGTCTGTACTTCTGTTATGCATTAGCGCTAGATCAGATACTTGTGTGGGGTGAAGCTAAAGCCCTGTGAGCGTTCATGACCGCAATAAACAGCTGATAGGTGAAGAATCTCTGACAATTATTGAACTTTAGATGACATAATGTCTGTTTCCACTTAGCCAAGGAAACATTTTAGCATAGCATGCTAAATACATCCATCAACACTGAGAAAACAACATGTGTTGCGCTGCGATTAGCTGTTAGCTGCCACCACTATCCCTATCTCTCCTTTTATTCATCTATGAGATAATTACAATCTGTTTTACTGTGGTAATGACATGTCGTCGATCATTTAACGCAACGCAACAGTTAACATTCGCAATCAATGCTAAACATCTGGCATTTTGCAAGCCTATGCAATTAGCAAGAAAAACATATTCTCTGCATAGTTTTGGTTTGTAAATAAACTCTTACGTAAAGACATATGTTTATTGCACTTGTGCCTTTGATGATTAATGCTCTTTTCGGCATCGGCATCGCACATGCATTCCTCGCGAGGCCTGCCAAGTTTAGCTGATCCGCTCCCCTTGCAAATAACAAATCACATGACCGAATGAGACACTATAATCCAAACACATACAGCTGAATTTATGACCTGATTTACTTTATGCTACCAACTTTTATGGCTTGTCTATGTTATTTGCAGATGCTGACTCTCGGCCAAGTTAAGAGCAGACGTTAAGAGTTTATAACTCATCTGAACTATCTCTCAGAGCGGTTATTGTGAAATGCTTGTCGTTTGAGCATCTCCAGGGAAGGGTGGTATGATATATTCCAGAAATATTGTTCAGTTCATACACTTTGATTTTCCGCCAAGTTTCCGCCAAACATATGCTGCTTCTGAATAACTACTAATTTTGGGACTAAAACATGCTGAGTGACATGGGTATAATGTTACTGATTATTGTCATTTCAGCTGGCATTTACAAACCTGCTCACAAATATCACTTAAAATCTTGCAGAAATAAAGCTGACTTGCAAAAGAAATCTTTATTTTTTAAAAGTACAGACCCAGCTAACAAAAATAAAAGTTCTATCAAGTAAAAACGTTAATTCTGAATGCTCGCTGAACGGTTAACATGTCCAGTTTTTTAAATGTTTTAAAAACGTTTTTTTAGTTATGTGAATGTTAAGGGAACATTCCATTTTAGAATTTTGCAAACATTATGAGAACACTACTTTTGAAATGCTTTCTCAAAGTTCTGGAACAAGTAGTAGCCTACCATTTAAAAAAATCGTTAGATCAACGTCAAACGTTTCAGAAATAAAACAATCCATAAACAATGTATAAATAATGTTTTTGTGCTAATGTTTTGAGAACATTATTAAAGACTAGTTAACTCCCCAGCCAACAAAAGTATGTTCTAAGAACATTTTGCTAATGTCTCGTTTAATTATGAAAATATTATTTCAGAATTTTTGTAAAAACACAGTTTTTAAACTTTTTTGGTTATATGAATGTTTAGGAAGCATGCAAACATTATGGAAATGTTATTTTTGAATGTTTTCTGAACGTTCTGAAACAAGTAGTGACATAAAAAAAAAACATTAGAAGAACATCAAACTAAAAAGTTTTATAAATGTACGATTTATGATGTCTTCATAAATGTGTATGCATAAAAATTTTTTACTTTGATAACATTATGATAACATTATTAAAGACCAGATAACTCTGAATGAATGTTCTATTAATGTTTCTGAAATAACGTTTGTTCATAACTTTGAGAGAACCTTGCCAGAACGTTCCCCTGTTAGCTACGGAGCTTGCTACATTTAATTAAATTTGGTAGCCCAAAAAGGAGACCTTTCATCAACACCATTTGAAACGTGCAAAATATCTTTTCGAATGAACGTTCCCTTTAATTCTAAGTCTATACAAGGAAATTCAGCTTTATTGCTTTATCAGACAGACAGATCCATGATACGCCGCGGTAGGTCCTCCAGAGCAGTGAACCCATGTTATTAAGCCCAAAAAACCCATCAGCCAGCACACCTGAATCCAAGTGCTCTGTCAGTCAAGTGGCAGTCATCTGCAGCAAACAACCAGACACGTTCTGCTTCATTTTACCCCAAATCAGTG